AGGAAGTGTCACCAGCTGCTCAGGCTAGTTTTAGAACCTGACCAATGGCTGGAGACACTGTTGTACCAATAGGAAGGTGGTCACATTGCAGAATAGAAGTGCACAGGAATGGGTGATTACCAGGCAGTCTAAGAGAATCAGGCAGGTAGCCAAGGGAGTAAGTGTTTCTATAGCAGTAAAAATGACTCTAGAATGGAGCGTCGCATTCCGGTGCTAGGTTCAAAGATGTCTGGACTCCAAAGCATCCTTTTGAGGGAAGGGAATCAGCCGTAAACCACGGTCCATATTGATACCAATGACATAGGCATGAAAAACGATGAGATCCTGAAGCCAGATTTCAGGAAGTTAGGAAGGAAATTAAAAATGAGATCTCGTAGAGTATTTATCTCAGAATTATTCCCAGTGCCACATGCTTGTGAATATAAGAACAGGAAGATCAATCGATTGAATGCATGGTGAGAGATCTGATGTAGGAGAGAAGGCATCAGATTTCTGAAGGGCTGGGGCCAGTTCTGGGCAGGTAGGACCTGGGCAAGTTGGACAGGTTACACCTTAACAGGACTGGGGCAAATAACCTTGCAAGGAGATTTGCTAGTGCTGTTGGGGTGAGTTTAAAAAAATTAAGATATACTGCAAGAAAAAAGTCTCCAGAGCAAAAGGTGAGCTGCAGAGGAATAAGGAGTGGATCAAGAGGACCATCAGCACAGAAATCAATGGCAGCATAATGTCACGAGTGCAGGTTGACTGGTAGTAGGTTTAGTCAGTATTTCAGATCTTTAAAGTGAAAGTTAGCATTTAGTTTGTCAGTATTCTCAAGACTTTTCTTCTCTTTCTCTGAGAAATATTTTGTTGGGTTTTCACAGTAAGTTCACACTTATTCAATGGGTAACAAATAGATTTTAGAGTTACAGGATGACAGGTCAGAGACTAAGTGGAGCATATATCCTAGGTGGTATGTGAAATCAAAGACAGACCATGTGTCCCAGGGAAACATGAGAAGTAACCCAAATTAGAAGGAAGTGAAATGGGCAACAGGAAGT